ACTGACTACATGGTTCAAGTCCTGGACTGGGTAGCTTGAAAAACATGCTGGACACATGTGTGTGCATGCCCAAAATCCTGAGAGGAGAATGGATGTGAAGGGATTGTGGCGTGGCCATTTCCCCTGGGGGGTTATTTCTCACTCTCTCTCTTTGTCTCTCTCTGGCAAGCACACATGCCCTATAGAAAATTTTTAAGAATTAAATTTTTTTTTTAATGAAGATAAGAGATAATTTAAAAAAAAAAAAAGCAGGAATAGTATCTTTGTTTCCAAACAGTGAAATTCCTTTTATTTTCTCCCACAGAACTGTTAAATGTAATCATATGTTTGTGGTGTTAAATATTTGAGAAATCCTACCATCCTTAATCCAGACAGAAAAGTTTTATTTCTTAGAAATCAAAGTTTTTTGGTATCAGTATATTCTTGTGTCTCTTTCAGTCTCTTCATGGGGATATAAGTACCCTGAAAACAACTTTGCTTGAGGGCTTTGCTGGTGTTGAAGAAGCCAGAGAACAAAATGAAAGAAATCGAGACTCTGGATATCTCCATTTACTGTATAAGAGACCCCTGGATCCCAAGAGTGAAGCTCAGCTCCAGGTAGGACACTCTGTTTAAATCTACTGAAAAGATTTAAAAATGAAATTATGGAATAATTGCTGTCATTTTTTAGATATGAAGTTGATTTTCTGCTAGTCTGTATTTCCACAAATTTCCTTAATTGCAACGAAGAATGTGACTTAGTTTTCTACTCTTTTTAATTAAAAAAAAAAGTGTTTTAATTAAACCTTAAGCTTGGTAGAGGGTACTCTGTCAAAACAGGTACATTTATCAGTTAAATCGTGAGTGATATTAATTAAGTAGGAACGATTTTTATTTTATATTTATTCATTTATTTTAATTCGACCAGAGGGAGAGAGAGAAAGTGAGAAAGCAAGCTACCAGGTCCAGGACTCTAACCATGGTCGGCCATGTGGGACTGTCCAGTGCCTTAACTACGCCACTTGCTGGTCCCCACAGTATAAGTTACTGATCCCTTTGTAGGATGAGGGAACTTCCACTAAGGCTGAGAGGCTTGCCCGAGGCATGCTGACTCTAAGAACGGGAGTAGAAACCTCCAAAAGCCTGGGCTCTCTCCTAAGCTGCTTTTCTCATTGATTCTTAATAATTCTTTTTAATCTCTGTTTTAGCAAACTGGATTTTGTCCTCTACCTTTCCATTTATCCAGGACTGCCATGTTGCTAGGTTTAATGTGAGGGTTGTCTTCTCCCTCCCTATGTTCGTATGGAGGCCCAGTGGGAGGGTACACAGGCAGGTCTGGTCTTTCTTTCCTTGGAAGTGGGCTCTGTATGTGCAGTGAGTCCCTAGTCCTCAGAATTTGAGGCCACAGACTCTGCTATTCCCACCATTTCCATCCTACACCTGGAGAAATGGTTCCTTCTTCCAGAAAGGCCAAAGAAGCCCTGTCATGTTCCACAGCCCCATCTGTGATGCGCCTCCCTCTGCCATTGGTCTCACACACTCAGCAGAGAGCCCACCTGTCCTCACCCCAAAATGCTGCCTGCTCCTTACCTGGCCTTCCTACATGCCTTTTTTGCTTTTTGCTTTATTGCCAAACTAAGAGAATGCACACAGCTTTGGAAGAACACTTTTCCCATTTAGAAGGGAGTAAACTTTATGCAGTCGTGCTAAGTAGATAATAATAGCATGCATGGAGTGCTTACTACGTACGAAGCAAAGTGGAGGTAACATGCTGAAACTACCCAGGTTTCACTGAGAAGTCCTGGCTCTTTGAACCTGGGCATTCTCTCCAGAGCCTGTGCTCTTAACCACTGCGTGGTGGCACAGCCCCCTCAGGTGGGTATGTGCTGGTGGGAGAGGAGAGCGTGTGGGCTCTGGGCCAGGATGCTGTGGGAGCAGAGGAGAATGGAGGAGAAGGGACTGCAGCATGGCAGATTGGTGTTTGCTGGTAGACACAGCTGGGAGGGCGTGTGGGAGCAGCAGCACAGGCCAGTGCAGAGATCCGGTTGCACTGGCATGGGTGAAGAATGTCATCAAGGGTCAAGTAGGATTTACGTTTACTATAGGTCGCTGCTCTCTCCCTCTTCAGCCTGCCTGTCTCTAAAGGACACCTTGTCTTCTTCAGTCAGGACATCCCCTTACCCAAAAATAATTTTGAAAATATGTTTAAACCTGAGATCTTTGTTTGTATGTAAAAAGCTTTTTCCCCTTATTATAGCACAGTTTCTCCATTTGTATACATACTTATTTGAATGCTTGATCTTCATTTTTAATTTTTGTGAGTTAAGTTGGAGAGCCATGAAGGCTAGCAATGACCCCAAACTTAAAGAAAATGATTGCAGGCCTAACGCAATTGCTAAGAATTTTAATAATGGTAAATTCAATTTCTAGTGCTGGTACTATTTTTTTGTTTTTTAAAAGAAATGAGTCTCAACTGGCGAGATGACTTAAATGTTCTCTGCTATGAGTGGATAGGTTCAGAATTATTTTGAGCACTGTTTTATAGGATAATTTTCCCTTGTTACAGTTAATTTCATGGGTGGGAGAGCAAAAACTAAACGGATGTGTTGTGTGAGTACCGGAGTACAGTGGAAAATTCCCTGCCACGCTAAGCCGCTTTATGGAGCTGACAAACGAGAGCTAAGCAAGGACATCTGTCCCCAGGGGCTGAGGCCGACACGCCCTTTCTGTTTTCATTTTCTTCCTACTGCCTCTCCGTCACACTATTAGAAAAGTTGACTTTCTGTTTCTCATTGTAATTATACAATTCTAACGATTCTGTTTCAGCCTTTTACAGTTTCCTCATTCATTGTTATTTTCATGATGGAAATAATTCTGAATTTTTTTTTCTTATTTTTTTGGAGAGGTTTTTGCTATAGGGCACGTGTGCTTGCCAGAAAGACAGAGAGAGACAGAAAGTGAGAGAAATCACCCCTCGGGGGGGATGGCCATGCTGCAGTCCCTTCTCCTCCATTCTCCTCTTGTGATCTGGGGTGCCCGGCGTGAGTTTAAGCCACCAGGTCCGGCACTCGAACCACTGTTGACTACATGGGAGTCCAGTGACATAGCCATTATGCCATCTGCTGGTTCCTTCTGAATTATTTTAACTGTTGATTCCTTGTCCCCTAAGTTCTTCTGGAAAAATGAGTCATTTGCCTTTTTTTTTCTTGTAGGAAATTCGGCGCCTCCACCAATATGTGAAATTTGCTGTTCAAGATGTGAATGATGTCCTGGACTTGGAGTGGGATCGACATCTGGAACAGAAAAAAAAACAAAAGTGAGCAAGAGCTCTCACCCACCCGTAGATCTGCTGTTTCTTTTCTCAAAGAGTGGTTAGCCTGTGGAAAACCACACCAGTGTCTTTTGACACAGTCATTCTGTTGTACTTCTAGACATCTTTGTACAGAAATAATAGATGATGCTTGCAACAGTTTGCATAAAATGATTTATATTGTGGTAAGATTTTATGATAACGCAACATTCGATTCAGCCTAATTAAACCCAACCTAAAGGAATATGGTCACATTTTCTAACTACCAAATATTTCATGAACATTGGGTAATATATTCACACAAAAGTTATATTGAATATATTATTTACATACATACATATATATATTTATATAAAAACATACTTTTTTTTTTCTTCCTATAAAGCGCATGAGAGACAGGCTCATGGACAGTGAGAAATCACCTTCCCAGAGTAGTTGGCCATGTAGCAATCCATTCTCCTCTATTCTTCTCTCAGGACTTTGGTCACACACACACACGCGCCTAGCATGTCCTTTAAGCCACCAGTTCTGGGACTCAAACTGCGCTGCCAGTTACATGGGATCCAGTGCCTTTGCCACCACGCCACCTGCTGGCTCCTGTGTTAAATATTTTTTATGTGAAATATATTGCTACACCACTGTACTTACTAGGTACAGCATATAGAATATAATAAAATAAGAAGAAAAGTAAGACAGGAAAGCACAGTGGATGATCTCAGTCTGGAAGAACAGACAGAAAAGAGATTGGACCTGGATAGGTTTATCAGCGTTCAATTATATCTGCAAGGTGGGATTAAGAAGACCTTTTTCCTTTTCCTTGATATTTTCCTGTGTATTCCAAATTTTTTTGAGAAAACATTCCTAATTAGTACAGATCACTTAAAAGATGAGAGGAACGATGGCGAAAGAGTGGGAAACCTGCCCCTGGATATTTGGTGTTATGACAGTTTTCTGAGAGGGCTAGCACGCAGCACACCGCTAATAGCAAGTGCCCATGGTAAGCCACTTGGAAACAGCATCCTCAGGACGTTAGGTTTCTAGAAAATGTGTATGTGAGTAATGTGATCAGTCGTGTATGGGAACAAATCAAGAAATGGTCTGTTCGCTCTGGTTTCTGGGGCTGTAGGGTCACAGAACTTTTCAGGGGGACGGCCTGGGTGTGACGGCAGGACAGGGCTAGAATGTGTGTGTAACCGCATGAGCAGCATTGACTAAATCACATCGTGCCATGTGGAGAAGGGCTCAGAAGCCTGTACTGAGGACCCTTAGCTTAGAACATCAGTGTGATGGGGAGGTAGAGGTGACATACTCTGCCCCTACCCTGTCCTGGGGGTGGGCTCTGGCCTGTGGCCTGGAGCACTTGTCCTCATGGCCAGTGGGACCCTATCAGAGATGTTACAGCTCAGTCCCCTGGCTGCAATTTATGTGCAGTCCTGTGTGTTACTTCCCTGCAAGAAAGCGCTTGGCCTGACCTGACAGTGGCTTGTTGATAGCTCCATTTCTCTTTGCTACTGGATAAGTTGGCTTTTTAAAGAGAGCATGATGCTAACAGAAAAGCCGAAGTTTTTTGTTTGTTTGGTTGTTTTATAACTTTTTGCTAACCTTGTGGATTTACTATTTAGCATGGTGAGTTCCTTTATACAAATTTCAAAATCTTTAGTCCATACCGTTTTCTGTTTCAGTAGCACTTCCCTGTTTTAGGCCCATCTCTGTACACTATCTTGTATCCTACTGAAGTGCCTTTTTAAATATTCATGTCAAACTACCTTGTCACTAGAGGCACTCACTCAGCCAGCGCTTGACTCCTTAAGGAGGTAATAGGAGAAAAGAAGGTAACACCGGAAGTTCCTGTTTAGGATAGATGTCTTCAATCCATGGTAGTGGGAAGACACAAAATGTACATGCTGACTTATAGAAACAAAGGAGATGGTTGATTCGTAGCTCATGTAGGATCACTCCTTTTGTTTTGTTTGTATAGTTTTCCCCAAAATTAATATAGTCAGATAACACTTCAAAAGATATTCAAGGGGGACCAGCAGGTGGCATAGTGGTTAAAGCGCTGGACTCGCACACAGCCAACCATGGTTCAAATCCAGGACCTGGCAACCTGAGAGAAGAACACAGACCTAGCCTGTCTGTCTTTAGAGCGGCTGTTGTGATCTTGTCTGTTTTTAGTTCTTTTGAGCTAGTTTCTCCCTGATGCTAAATCCTGTATTTTCCTGCTTCTCAATAGTCTGAAGAAATGACACCCCCATAGATTCCAATGAACCTGGTTTTTTTTTTCTATTTTTGTAATTGAATATATTTTACACATACACAAATACAGATCGCAGCATAATGTAGATAGCTGAAAGGATTTTCTTCTGTTCTGCCTCCTTACTTTTCTTCCCTGAGCCTCTCTAGGGTTTTGTCTAATTTACTCTGTCATTAGCCGCAGCCTGGCCTGTGTATTTTGAGCTGTTTTCTCTTCCTGCCATTCCTCCTCATGCTATTTCTCCTCATAGACAATCTTGTGTGTTATTTCTCCCAAGAAAACATGGTCTGACCTGACAGTGGCTCTGCTCGACAGTTTTGTTTCTCTTTGCGAATGGCTAAGTTGGTTCCTAGTAATTTGTGGGTGTTTTTATCCACTAATGGTTCTCTATTTATTGTTCCCAGTTATATTGCAGCCTTTCTTTTTAGGGGTTGGGAGTGGGGTTTAGTTTCCATGACTTGAACCATTTATGTTCCTTTTCTCATTGCTGTCACCAGGCGCTTGCTTGTGCCAGAGCGAGAGACACTGTTTAACACTCTTGCCAACAATCGAGAGATCATCAACCAGCAGAGGAAGAGGTTGAACCACCTGGTGGACACCCTCCAGCAGCTCCGTCTGTACAATCACACTTCCCAGTGGAGCCTTCCCACCTCCATTCCTTCCCAGAGCAGCACTCACAGGTGCACGAAGAATGAGTACCAGTGCATGTGTGACTGATGAGTGCATGAGCCAGTCTCTGGGCAGAAATGTGGGACAGTCGTAGAGTGCTTCTGATGTGGCTTTGAAGGTTACTGCTGTCTGTTGCCTGTGTGATTTCGGTCAGGTTTCTTACCTTCTCTGACACTTTATTTCTTTGCCTAAAAAGTAGACATAACAATACCTGTCTCATGAGATTGTCAGAAAGTTCTGAGCCTGCGTAGCTCCCAGGGCTGTGCCTGATGGCATAGGTGCTCCGTGGGTCATAGCAGACACTGGTCACCATGTTGTCATTTAATGGAAATTAACCAATAGGATTCAGTTGGCCGACTTGTCCCTGAAGCCCAGGTACACCTTTCTGCTTGAGCGTGGAGATGATCAGACCCTAGTGGTTGGCTGTTTTACCTCTAGAGTTACCAAGGGAGTTTTGCGTTTCTGCTTTTGAGCCAAATGTGTAACCGTTAATTGTCCTTTTCAGTGAGGCACTGCAGTGTGTTTGATGCGGGAATGGGATATGTTACTGAGGTTGCAGTCTCTTTTTTGGATTCTTAATGTCAGTTGGTCAGGTGGCATTTTTTTTTTACCTTAATTGCCGGAGGGTACATGCACTTGCCAAAGAGAAACAGAGGAACAGAGGAAGAGATAAAGCACTCCCGAACAGGGTGTGGTCGTGCCTCAATAATCCTTTCTCCATTTCTCCATCCTGTCAGGATTAGACACTTGCCTGGTGTGCATTCAAGGCGCCAAGGCCAGTTTGAACTGCATGGTTGGCCGTGTGGGCTCCATCTCCCTTAACCACTAGGCTGCAATGCTTCATTTCTATATTGAGTATGCGCTCACCTCTTGCATTTCTATTTAAGTGGATAAGGTGCCCCTCACAGCCTCAGCTATCTCAGCTCAGCACTGGTTTCTGTATAACACTGTCCTGTTTCAGTTTTGACAGCGACCTGGAAAGCCTGCGCAATGCTTTGTTGAAAACCACCATAGAATCTCATGCCAAACCCTTACCCAAAGTACCAGGTAGATGTAACTTTTCAGCTATTTAGCTCTATTCTCTTCCAATTACTAACACCTAAAAAACAAGTCTTAAGCATTTATGGTTTCATGAATTTCTTGCAGCTAAACTGTCCCCTGTGAAACTGGCACAACTGAGAAACTTCTTGGCCAAGAGGAAGACCCCACCTGTGAGGTCCACTGCTCCAGGTAGAGAGCTGTTCTTATGTGTTTTAGCATAAACCACGTGGTACAAAGTGCCAGGTGCACTCCGTGTATGTGTACGTGTTTTCCTTTTGGTTCTTAGCAAGGGATAGGGAAAACATCCCCAGAATCTGTTGTGAGTTTGAATATTAGAATGAGAAGCAGGTTGTATATGATCAACAAAACATTTCAGGATAGTTGTTTTGGGTTTTATTCTATGCTGTTTGCATTCTTCAAGTTGCGTGATAGAGATCCCCAGGGGTTCGGGATAGGCCAAACTGGAGCCTAGCCTCTGCTTTAGCCAAAGAAGCTCTACTTCCCTGATGTGTGTGAGGACTGAGTAAGATTGTATTTGAGAAAAAAAGGAAAGAAACTTCCAAATTACTAGATGTACGGAGGTGCTTAGAGACTGTGGGTGCACTGGGAGAGGCGTTTAATTGAAGAAAAAAGTCTATTATCTTTTTTGCCATGAAATTTTCTATATAATAGTTCCTTTTAAAAAAAAAAAAAAGAAAGGGAACCAGCAGTTGGCGTAATGGCTATGTCGCTGGACTCCCACGTAGTCAATCGCGGTTCATGTCCCGGACCCAGTGGCTTAAAACTCACGCCGGGCGCGTGTGCGTGCGTGCCCAAGATCCCGAGAGGAGAATGGAGGAGAAGGGATTGCGGCGTGACCATCCCCCCTGGGGGGTGATTTCTCACTTTCTGTCTCTATGTCTCTCTCTGTCTGTCTGGCGAGCGCACGCGCCCTACAGTGAAAATCTCTCAAAAAAAAAAAAAAAGAAAGAAAGAAAAAGAAAATAGAGCAATTATCTAGATAATTGTTTTGCATTAGACGCACAATTTGTGCTTTTCTTTAAAATTCTGTTTCGAGTTAAAATTTTTTTATGCCAACAACATATGACATTTGATAATTAAAACATCGAAATTTAACTTAATCTTAACTGTACCATCATTTCTCTGTAACATATAGGGCTAAATTGGGTAAGAGTCCCAGAGAAGTAAAATTTTTAATAATTCTTTTTATTTACTTAAAAGAATTATTTGTTTAATTTACTTACTTAAATTTGTCCAGAGAGAGAGGGAAAGTGAGAAAGCAAGCCACCAGGTCTAGGACTCAAATTGTGGTTGGCCTTGTGGGGTTTAGTGCCTTAACCACCATGTCACCAAGCCAGCCCCAATAATTATTTTTATTTAAAGAGTAAATCTTGGGGCCAACAGGTGGCATGGTGGTTAAGGTGCCAAGATCTCACATGGCCAACTAAGGTTCGAGTCCTGGACTCAGTTTGAATTATGCCAGGTGTGTGTGTGTGCATACCCAAATTCCCAGGAGGAGAATGGAGGATATGTGATTGTGGTGTGGCCATCCTCCCTGGGGGGTGATTTCTCGCTTTGTCTCCTTCTGTCTCTGCCTCTCTCTCTCTAGCAGGTGCGTGCACCCTATGGCAAAAACCTTTATAAAAATTTTTTTTAAAAAAGGTAGATCATTGTGAAAACATATGGACAAGTATAAAGAAGAATAAACATTTGTCTTTATTTTTCAAACCACTTACATCATTTTGGTATATTCCTAAGCTAATTTTTTTGCATAAATACAATTTGTTGAAGATTAAATTGGATTATAACATTATGGTTTTGTATTCCAACTTATTTTTTTATTTAAAAAACATTCATGAGCCCTGGGACCAGCAGTTAGCGTATCGGCTATATCGCTGGACTCCCATGTAGTCGACCGCGGTTCGCATCCCAAACCCGGTGGCTTAAAACTCATGCCAGGCGCGTGTGTGTGCGTGCCCAAGATCCTGAGAGAATGGAGGAGAAGGGATTACGGCATGACCATCCCCCCTGGGGGGTGATTTCTCGCTTTCTGTCTTTCTGTCTCTGTCTCTGCCTAGCAAGCGCACGTGCCCTATAGCAAAAACCTCTCCAAAAAAAAAAAAAATTCATGAGCCCTTTCTGGAAGAAAAACAACAAAACCCAGAAAATCGGTTTTATTCAGGATAGTGGAGAAATTGGAACCCCGTGCTCTATGGGCAGGGGTGCGAAATGGTGCAGCTGCGGCCGAAAACAGTTTGGTGGTTGCTTAAAAAAATAAAAATAGGAACCAGCAGTTGGTGTAATGACTATGTTGCTGGACTCCCATGTAGTCGACCACGGTTTGAGTCCCAGACCCAGTGGCTTAAACTCACGCTGGGCCCGTGTGCTTGCATGCTCAAGAGTGTGTGCATGCCCAGGATCTCGAGAGGAGAATGGAGAAGGGATTGTGGCGTGGCCACACATACCGTGGGGGGTGATTTCTCGCTTTCTGTCTCTCTGTCTGCCTCTGTCTTTCTGGCAAGTGCACATGCCCGATAGCAAAAACCCCTCCAGGAAAAAGAAAAGAAAAATTAAAAATAGAATCACCATATGATCTAGGAATTGAAAACAGTCTCAGCAATATTCATCCACCCATGACCGTGGCAGCATTGTTGATAGTGACTGAGAGGTAGCATGAGTATCCATTGACAGAAAATGAATGAAGAGGATGCTGTCTATCCAATAGTGGAATGAACTTTTCAGCCTCATGGACTTTTCAGCCTTAAGAAGGAATGAAAATTTGGCAATGCTGCAATGTAAGTGCACCTTGAAGAGATTCTGCAAAGCAAAATAAACCAGTCACAAATAGACAGTGCTTTATGATTCTACTTATATGAGGTACCCAGATAAGTCACATTCCTAGAGAGAGGAAGTGAAATGATGGTTGCCTGTGGGGTAGTGGAGTGGTTGGAGAAGATGGGGAGTTATTTAATGAGTTAGTTTCCGTTTTGCAAGATGAAAATAGTTCTGGAGATGTTAGTGGTGCTGGTTCAGGACAGTATGAATGTACTTAATACCACTGAACTGGAACCAGCAGATGGTATAATGGTTACATTGCCGAACTCCCACATGATTCACGTCCCAGACCCAGTGGCTTAGACTCAATGCCAGGCACATGTACATGTGTACCCAAACCCTGAGTGGAGAATGGAGAAGAAGGGACTATGGTGTGGCCAATCCCCCAGGGGTGATTTCTCGCTTTTTGTCTCTCTGTCTCTCTGTCTCTTTGGCAAGGTTATGCACCCTATTGCAAAAATCTCTCTAAAAATAAAAAATACTTTTCTGAACCATACAAATACAAGTGATAAGGAGGTCAATTTTATATATATGTATATTTTTATCACAGTAAAAAGAATTGGTAATAATTTTTTTTTTAATTAAAAAAATTCATGGGCCAATTGGCATCACAGCAGTAATGCAACTACATCCATGTGGGAAGGTCCCGTGTTCATATCCCAAGGCCACCCTGTACACACAGTGGACGTCCCCACCATCTGCGTTGAGTGATGGTGGATTGCGGAACGGGAACCCTGTTGGCTGCCTGCCTTCCTGCCTGCCTATCTTGTCTGTCTCTGTCTCTGTCTCTCTCTCTCTCTCTTTCTCATGAGAATAAATAAGCTTTGAAAAAAATGCATAAGACTTTTCTTCTGCCTTCTGTTTTAAAATCTTTAATATTCTTTGAACACGTGCTTTAGAGTATAGTGACTGCACAGTATTTCCTCATGTTAGAAGGCCTTAATTACTTACTCAATTTCTATTGTTAGTGTTCATCTTATTGCTAAGCTTTATCTCAGCACATCTTTATTCATAAGTATTTAACCCAATCTCTGACTATACGTTTATAATAGATTCCTTAGAAGTGAGATTTATGGGGACCAGCAGTTGGCGTAGTGGCTATGTTGCTGGACTCCCATGTAGTCGACTGCAGTTCGACGCCCTGACCCAGTGGCTTAAACTCACACCAGGTGTGTGTGCGTGCATGCCCAAGATTCCGAGAGGAGAATGGAGAAGAGATTGCAGCGTGGCCATTCATCCCGGGGGTCATTTCTTGCTTTCTGTCTCTCTGTCTTTCTGGCAAGCACACGCGCCCTATAGCAAAAACCTCTTCAGAAAAAAAAAAAGAAAAAAGTGAGATTCATGTAATATTTTATTCATTCATTCAACAAATACAGTTGCCTACTTTTGCAGACAGTAGTAAGGAAGAGATAAATGGTCTATGACCACATAAAACTTTAAGAAGGGAAGGGAACCAGCAGTTAGCGTAATGGCTATGTCGCTGGATTCCCACGTAGTCGACCGCGGTTCGTGTCCCGGACCCGGTGGCTTAAAACTCACGCAGGGCGCGCGTGTGTGTGTGCCCAAGATCCCGAGAGGAGAATGGAGGAGAAGGGATTGCGGCGTGACCATCCCCCCTGGGGGGTGATTTCTCGCTTCTGTCTCTATGTCTCTCTCTGTCTGTCTGGTGAGCGCACACGCCCTACAGTGAAAATCTCTCCAAAAAAAAAAAAAAAAAAAACTTTAAGAAGGGAATATGAATGTAAAGCAGATAACTATACATTATATTTAAATATATTAGGATGCATTATATTTTAAAATATTAGGATGCATAATTAAGAATACAGAAATACTTTTTTTTTTTAATTTGTGAAATATGACAGAGATGCACAAAACAAAAATTTATGTCCATGGAGCCTTTGCCCGGTGCAAGAAACAGAACATTGCCAAGGCTGTGGACAAGCTATCACCCTGTCCTCCCTCCCCTGCAAGGGTACCATCATACAGGGAAGAGCCATGCCTTTCCTCTGATTTTTTTCACTTGACATTTTAAATTCTGTTATTTTGAAAAAATTGAAACCTCCAATTCCAAAATTGCAAAAATACAGTAAGTACCCACTTATCCTTCACCATATTTATCAGATAATGTTTGCCATCATTGTTTCATTTTCTCTCCCCCTGTCCTGTTACTGTTTTTGCTGAGCTCTTTGAGGATAAGTTGTAGACAAGTGTCTCTTTAGTCTTAAATGTTTTTGCATATATCCTCTAAGAAGAAGGAAATTATCTTTTACAACCATAGAACAGTTACAGGTCCAAGAAATTTAACATGGATGGACTACTGTTATCTAGAGTACAATCCATACTCCCATTTTACTAGCTATCCCACTTAAGTCTCATATGTTGACTTAGGAAAACAAAACAAAGCTTGGATCCAGTCTAGATTCTACGTTGCAGTAAGGACATAAACTTTATAATACAATCAAGTAGGCTTTAAGCAAGGAATACAGCTGCTAATCCATGCTTAACAATTGATTGGATTATTAGGAAAGAAAGCCATTGCAATCTATCCTTTTAGATCTAACAGTCTTTCCATCAGGTATTTGGGTACATAGATATTTATAGGTGTTAAATCTTCTTGATGAATTAGCCCTTTTACCACTATATAATGTTGTTCTTTTTCTCTTACAGTTTTTGTCTTAAAGCCTATTTTGTCTGAAATCAGTATCGTGACTCTAGCCCTTTTTTGATTTTTGTTTGCATTTCTGTTAACCCATTAACATTCAGTGTTGTTACTGATATTTCTGGACCTGTCCCTGTCATTAGTTAGCCAGTTTCTTAGTTGTTTTTTTGGTTCTGTTATTTCTGTCTCTCTCTCTTTAGTTTTCCTGCTATAGCACTCCCTTCAGAACTTCTTGAAGAGCTGGTCTAGTGTTGGTAAAGTCTTTGAGATTTTTGTTTATCTAAGGATGTTTTTATCTTTTCTTCCCATTTGAAGGATAATTTTGCTGGGTATAGTAATCTCGGTTAAAATAGTTTTTCTTCTAACACTTTGAATATATCTTCCCATTCTTTCCTTGCTTGCATTGTTTCTGCTGAGAGGTCCGATGTTAGCCTGATGGGGTAACATTTGTGCATGTCCAACCAAGATCCTGAGAGGAGAATGGAGGAGAAGGGATTGCAACGTAGCCATCCCCCCTGGGAAGTGATTGTGCACTTTCTGTCTCTCTGTCTCTGTCTTTCTGGCGAGCGCACATGCCCAATAGCAAAAACCTCTCAAAAAAAAAAAAAGAAAGAAAAGAAATCCTGTTTCTTTGTAATGACTATGTATATACCATTATTATCTTCTAACATAAATATTTTGCCTCTCATAAACATTAAATCAATTACCTAGAACTGATTTAAAAAAAAAAAAACTATAGCGGTATAATTGATACAGAGTTTAACTGTTCTAAGTATAGTTTGATGATTTTTAGTAAGTTTACAGAATTGTGGAACCATCACCACATTCCAATTCTAGAACATCTCCTTTTTTCAGAAAGTTTCCCTATGCTTATTTGCAGTTGATCCATATTCCACCCCCAGCAACCACTGTTCTCTCTCTGTGGATCTGCCCTTTTTATAAATTATATATAAATGGAGCCATGTATGCAGTCTTTTGGTTTGGCTTCTTTCACTTGGTTTTGTGTTTTTGAGGTTCATTCATGGTTTGTAACAGGTATCAATAGTTCAAGCAGGAGCTTGCTGTTCACCCTGAGCTACTGAGATGATTGTGTGATATCCCTCTCTTTTTTTCCCTGCCCAATGTGGCTTTCTGCCTTTTCTTGTCTGAGCTAGAGCTCAAGCAGAATAAGATTCTCTGCATTTCAGTAGGATCCCTTTCTCATGCCAGGAAGGTAGCTGCATCCTGATCACAGCAGTGACTAGTGCCCATCAGCGGTGTAGCAGCACCACCCAGTGGAGGACAGCCCAGGCCCTAGGCGTCTGTAAGTGAGCGTGGCCGTTGCCTTTTCCGGGTGATGGAGCCACCTGCACCCAAGGCAAATGAATGGCATCAGAACAGTGAAAGTGGGAAACTGAGAGGACTCCAGCTTACCTCAGACCTGAGGAGTTAACATAGTTACGCCAGTTTCTCTTTTCTACCTAGTTCTCGCAGGTGAAGATCTAAGTCATCTTTCATTGTTACTAACGCTCAGGAGATAGGATTTAAGAGAAGATCTGGAGAGTAATGTGGTCCTTAGTGAATGGAGGCTTTGCAGTAGTTTCATGTGGATCCCCTAACAAATTGTCACAAGCTTTGTGGGTTTATTCTCTCACAGTTCTCTGTCCAGATAACTCAGCTCAGTCCACTGCTCGGTGCTCACAAGGCTACGGTTAAGGGATCAGCTGGGCAAAGCTGTTATCTCTGGACTTGTGGAAAGGCCCCACTGGGTCAGACTCCTCCACCAAGCTCCTTCAGGTTGTGGGCAGAATTCAGTTCTTGGAGTTGTAGGACTGAGGTCCGTGTTTCCTCAATGTGTGCTCCCTACCCCTTCTTCTTCTGGCCAACGAATGCACAGTGGATTTTCATACTTTGAGTTTTTGCTTTTCTGAACTTGTGCTACTTCTCTCTTCCTCTTCTGCTTAACTTCTCTGCTTTTAACAATTCATGGTATCTTGTGTTGGACCCACCTGCATAATCCAGGGTTACCTATTTTAAGGTAGTTGGTACCTGCAGAATTTCTTTGGCCACCTAACAGAACATAGCATGGTGTAGCTCAAGGGAACAGAGGTCATGAGGTCAAGATTTCACCCGGGATGTGCTTGTTCTTCCATGGCAGAGTTATGAGCATGGTCTGCGAAGTCATGTGCACACAGGTCACAGGTCTGGATTCTGGCCCTACCTCCTACCTGCTTCATGGCCTTGGGAACATTACTTAACCTTTGTTTAGCACTAACCATCAAGTTGGACAATAGCCTTTTCTAACTTAGAGGGTAGCTGTGAAGATCACGTGGGATGATGTGTCCAGAAGCTTTCGGTAGCACCTGGTACCGAATAAGGTGTTCTCCACGAGCGTGACTGGCAGCAGCTCTGGCGGTTATGGGCGAGCTCTCTGAATGACTGCTGTGTACTTACTTGCATCAGAGAACCTTAGCACAGGGCAGTCCTGGAAGTCTCTGCGATGACGGAAATGTTTCCGGTGTGTCCTGTCCCACCTTGCAGCTCAAAATTGTGGCCTGTGCAACAAAGGGGTGGAGTTCATCATTCATTTATTTATGTGAGTTACTTTAGCCACATACACCTAGAGGACAAGCGAATCGGCTAGAAAGACGTAAGCTGACTTAGGGAGGAGAAAGAGACATGTGAGATGACTTGGGGAGGAGAAAGAAAGAGCTAGGTTTTTTGCTTTTCAACATACAGGTAGTATACACATTCTGACATTTCTGTTGGCAAAGCCTCACTTCAGTGTTGTTCTCTAAACCTAGTCATCTGATTCAGAAGAATCCTGAGAATTATCTGGAAATGTTGAGAGGCTCAGAACTGCAGGCACCCTATTTTTACCAGTTTGTGGCAGCCTTAGGTTTCCCGAAGTTATTGTCAGAAAGCGACGGCAGTGGCGTGACCGTGCACCCTGCTTGTCTGCTAATTCTTACTCTGCCGGTGCGCACTTCTGTGGGGGCTCAAGATCTCGCGCTTTTACACCAGCATTCCTTCTGTCTCTCGCCTTCTGACATTCTTTTGTTTGACAGTCAAAATGTTCTTGTCCTACACAGCTTGGTTTTTCAAAGCCCCATTTGAACGAAGACCCAGAACCATCTTTGTTCTTATTCGACAACAGCTGCTTCCACTTAAAATAAGTAGTAATTAAATCGTTTTACAAACTGGGTACTTTTCTATTGGCAGTGAAAATGAACAGCTTTTGGACTTGCTTTGAGTTGTCTAAAATTGTGTCTTGTTTGGGACTTTTGTAGCCAGCCTGTCTCGGTCAGCCTTCCTATCTCAGAGATACTATGAAGACTTGGATGAAGTCAGTTCGACCTCTTCCATCTCCCAGTCTCTGGAGAGTGAAGATGCCCGGGCGTCCTGTAAGGAGGAGGAGGCAGTGGTCCAGGTCCCTCGGCATGCCCCTGTGGTTCGCACTCCCTCCATCCAGCCCAGTCTCCTGCCCCAGGCGATGCCTCTTGCTAAATCTCAGCTGATTCAAGGCCCTTCTCCTGGTGTGATGGGAACGTCAAGTAAGTAAATAGTGAGGAAGGAAAAGGTCTTTTTTCCCTATGAGAGTTCTAACTTTGGAGGAACTTGACTGGGTCTCAGTCCATCACGCTAGTAAGGCCTTTGGTTCTAGCCCATTTCTGCTAGTGTTCCAGAAGCTAGAAGACTAATTCCACAGATGTGTGTTCCCCTCGAAAGTGGTGGTGGGACATTGTGCGGGAGAATACTCTCCAGGGATATGCCCCGTAATAACGTTGCTGTCGAGTCCAGCTTGGGGCTTTTAGAGTAGACCTCTGTCAGGAGTGGGTACTGCCCTCAGCGCAGTGCAGCACCCACCCCGCCCGTCCTGGCCGCAGCCCTGTATGCCTCCCGAGCAGATTCTGCTCAGCGCTCACCAGCTCACCGGGCAGCTGCCCTGAGTGCTCGCACCTTCAGCACAGTTTCCGGGCTTGGCCTTGGAGTGACTTTCAGCAAAGGACAGGTACCTGACAAATGCCAGGTGCTAGAAAAGATTAAGGAATGGATCTGTGCTGCTGTGAAAGTGGCACATGGAGCAGTATCAGAGGTGTGGCCACATCAGGTGTCCTAGCTAGTAGGAGAGATGGGCAGGCAGATTGCAGGTAGTGTCAGAGAAGAGAGCCAGCCTGTCAGGTGACAGGTCCTTGTCTGTCTTTAAGAGCTATTCATCATAGCGTTTTCCCTGCAGCCTAATGCGGAGGGAGAATTTACCACTTTTAACTTTGTGTGTTCCTGTTCTCTGACCCACTTTCTCACCTAATTTTTCTTCTCCCTTCAGTGTCTACATCTGCTAGCAAAATGATCCCTCAAGGGGCTGATAGCACAATGCTTGCCACAAAGACGGTGAAGCATGGCGCACCCAGCCCCTCCCACCCCATCTCGGCTCCCCAGGCAGCTGCTGCCGCGGCGCTGAGACGGCAGATGGCCAGTCAGGTGCCAGGTAAAACCAGCCCACAGCCCACAGGGACTGAGCATGAGCTGTTATAGGCACAGGCCAGGGCAGGAGAGGCGAGAGACAAGTGACTCTCTTCGCTGCCCTGCAGAAGCAAAGACCGATGTGATAGCCCTCTTCTCCAGGAGAGAGTTCTGAGGAGGCACAGACTAGGTCTGAAATTCTTTCCTTTTTAGGGGAGGTATTAGATCTGCCATGTTTGGTTAAGTGGGAAATCAGTGGTGGTTGGTTTTTTATGAAGTTGATGATCCCTACTCTTGAACGTCTGCTTTGAGCCCTAAAGTTATCTTTGAAATTATTAATAGGTCATCTGATAACATCAGAATTGTCTCATATTTTCTTGAGAGTCCCAAACCACACTGGGAGGTGGATATTTTGTATTAGAGGAATGGAAGGTTCAGAGAGGTGAGGGTTATCTAACCAGTAAGTAGCAGAACCCAGACTCCAACCAGCCCACTATTCTATTTCAAAGAGCTTTTTCTTAACATTATAAACTTGGTCTTCATTGATGAGAACCCTACTGAGCTGATAGCACTTAAATTTTGTCAACAGTCTATGGGTATCTGAAATTTCTACGTTAGAATTTAACAGTCTGGGTAGTTGGTCTATAGGACTTCAGTTATTACTACTAGAGTTATCAATTTTGTAAGCCAGTGGTTCTCAACTGGAGACCACCCTTCCCCCTCCATCCACTCAGACAGTTGGCAGTGTTGCTGGCATGAGAGGGTAGAGCCAGGAATACTGCAAAGAAAATCTTCTAAAAACTTTGTTGTGGACTCCCCCATGGGAAGGGGTTATGTAGCACTAATGTCTAAAGTGCCAAAGTCTAGGAACTCTGGTAGGAGCCATGTGCCACTCTGGGAACTCTTAAGGCTCCCGCCACCTATACTTACAATAGGAGCCATACAAGTCAATGGTGGAGAATACAAAAAAATCTCGAAAAATCAGGTTTCAGGCCAGGCTGATGAGAAACATGACCCTGGCCACGGGATGATCTCAAGGCCAGCCCTGACCCTAACGTGGGTCCAAGACTCGGACCCGGACTCAGACTCGGAAACAATTCTTTAAAAAAAACCCAGGAAATCTGCATTGATTTACATACGCATGGGCATGACCCTGACCAAAGACCAAAAAGACATGGCTTGATTTAGGCAGTAAAGAATTACCATTAAGATGGGACCAGCAGTTAGCATAATGGCTATGTTGCTGGACTCCCACATAGTCGACCGCGGTTCAAGTACCGGACTCGGTGGCTTAAAACTCACGCCGGGCGCGTGTGTGTGCATGCCCAAGATCCCGAGAGGAGAATGGAGGAGAAGGGATTGCGGCGTGGCCATCCTCCCTGGGGGGTGATTTCTCGCTTTCTGTCTCTATGTCTCTCTCTGTCTGTCTGGCGAGCACACGCGCCCTATAGCAAAAAAATTTAAAAAAGAATTACCATTAAGGCAGGGAGTGGTGGCGCAGCAGTACCACAGTACTCTGTGAGGTCGACCCTCATGGGAAGGTCACAGGTTCTCGTTGGAGGTCTCTGTACCCATGATGGGCTAGCCAAGGCTGGAGGTGGATTACTGTATAAAGATCCTATTGGAAGTATATGTCTCTCTCCCTCTGTCCCTCTCTTCCCCTCTCTGTCTGTTTCCTTCTCTCATGGAGGAAATAAACTAATTTTTTAAAAAAGAATAGAGGACCAGCAGGTAGCTTGGTGGCTAAGGTGCTGGAGTACCACATGGCCTATCTCAGTTCAAGTCTTGGACCTAGTGGTTTGCTTTCTCACTTTCTCTCTCCCTCTCTCTGCTGAGCACAGATGCCCTATAGCAAACTTAATTATAATGAATTTAATTAATTAATAAAAATTACCATTACATCAAATGGTGAAAAGCAAAGGATTTCTAAGAGAATTTTAATTATTAAAACCGTTATTAAGACACCTAATATATATTGGAGAGCAAGAACAAGGTAATTTTTTAAGGTAATTTTGAGCTTTCTGGAAATAGAACTCTGTGATGCTTTTTTCAAATATTACTTGAACCAAGCAGAACTCTGGCATTGTGCTGAACAGGCTCTATATCAAGCTAGCCGAGTCAGTTGTTTCTAAGCTGAAACTTCCAGGACTTAGGATTGTCCCGGTGTAGCAGGAGCTGGCGTGACCTCCATAATCACATTGGAAGCACTGATTCCTAAGGTGTAGGCATCTTTGAATGGGAGAGATGAACCGCGTGCAGTCGTAGGCCAGCTGTCCCTGATCGCTCCTCCGGAGAGCTGCAGATCCACCATGCTGCTTCGGGTACAGCTTTCACCTCTGCCAAAGCAATGAGAAGAGAGCAAGAGCTTTGCTCAGGTTTTCTTAGTAGTCAATTACAGAATATCATTCTGACTTCTGAAAAACAGTCAAATTATAAGACATAAGAGGTGAAAGATCAGTTACTGTCAAAGAGAATTCCATTGCCATTCCCTCATTCAGTCCTCTCGGCCTCCTCCCTCTTTCTCATCCAAGCTCATTTTCCACCTTTCTTCATTGCCTGTCTGTCTCACTGACCTGTGAGCGCCTTTAGAGAAGAAACTGCACTTTAGACACCTTTTTCATTCTCACTACCTGATACAGAGCCTGGCATGTCCTAAGCACAAGCAAAAAAAGGATGGAGTAAATGGATAGCAGGAGCCCTGAGTCTGAGTGCTGCTCACCTTCTAGCTCTTGCTGACTTTCCCTGACTAGCCCTAGCCCACACTGGGCAGGTGTCTCAGCTGCGCTATAGAAAAGCTGACCAGGGACTGTTTTCTCCAGCTCCGTTGTGTTTCCTTGGACTGCCCGAAGTCTGTTCCATGTCCTTCTTTACTGAAGGAGGCCGGGTGCTCACTCAACACAGCGCCCAGAACTGCCTAGAGTTCCTTTATACGATTAGGTTGCAGTCTGCATGAGTTTGTGTCCTGGTCATTTATTATATGTGACTAGACTTTTTGACCCTTTACTGGAATTGATACAGTTCTCTCTCCTCTCTATTTAAATAGCTGTAAGTACTTTGACTGAATCGACTTTGAAGACTGTCCCTCAAGTGGTAAATGTGCAGGAATTGAAGAGTAATCCTTCAGCTCCTTCTGCTACGATGGGGTATGTATGACCCTCTCACGTGTTTAAGCCAGTGAGCGAATGGTTCTGTAACAGAAACGAACTGCCTGTAGGGAGCAGCGTTGCTATGGGCATGATGCCCTGAGGGTGACAGCTACGCCATGTGCACAGCTGGGTTTTTAGGAGGGCCTTTTCAGTGTGTTAGGAACAGTTGCCTTGTAGACCTTAAAGTCCATCTTTGTGACATTTACTCAGTTTGCTGCTTGTCCAAATGTGCCAGTCCACGCACAGTACACATTGATTCTTAGGGTGAGTATATAGTTGGAGTATTTTCTGTTATTTTCCTTTCTGTGAGAAATTTTTGCTATAGGACACATTTGCTTGCCAAAGAGACAGGGAGAGACAGAAAATGAGAAATCACACGCTGGGGGGATGACCACACCCATCTCTTCCATTCTCTTGGGATTTGAGGCATATATATACACACACACACGTGTTTGGTGTGAATTTAAGCTGCCAGGTTTGGGACTTGAACCTTGATCAGCTACGTGGGAGTCCAGCAATGTAACCTTTATACCATCTGCTGCTCCCTGTTTTTCCCCTTTTTAATGTTCTCAGGGTTCTAAAGTTGTTGAAGCTTAAGGTCTAATGCAGACCATTGATTCTGAAAACTGATGATTCAGGACTGACATTTTCTCCCTTCTTCCTCTCCCTGGCCATTTCTGTTCTTTCGTATTTTGTTTGCCTTTTGTTTGAAAAAGAAAATAGTCTTTTTTTTGTTGTGTTTTAAAGAACTTTTTACTGTGGGGTGCATATGCTTGCTGGAGAGACGCAGAGCAAGAAATCTCCCTCCAGGGGGTTGGCCACGCTGCAGTTACTTCTCCTCCATTCTCCTCTCGGGATTTTGGGCCTGTGCACATACACACACACACACACACACACCTGGTGTGAGTCTTAAGTCACAGGATCCAGGACTCGAACTGCAGTCAACTATGTGGAAGTCCAGCAATGTAACCATTATGCCATCTGCTGGTCCCGAAAAGTAGTCTTTTAAAAGGAGCCCTGAGGCCAGTCCATGGAGTGGTGGTTAAGGCTACTAGATCCCATGTGGCCGACTGCACAATTTGAGTCCTAGACCCGACTCAGAACACATGTGAAAAACACATCGGTGCGTGTGCGTGTGTGTCCAGAGTCCTTGGGAGAGAGAAAAGGCGGAGAAGAGACTGCAGCCGAAATATTCTCCATAGGAGCCGCTTTCCACTTTCTCTGTCTGACAAATGCACGCTCTCTAGCAAAATTCAGAACCAAAACTAAAACCAAAAGCAGCCCTGTTTGGATACCTCCAGCTTCCCTTCCATGCCACGTGTGAGGGTGGAGCCACTTCTCTTTATCATGTATGTGCTTAGAATTTGGGCTGTGGACTCCCTCCACAACTCTGGGCCCGGTTCATAGGATACGTCTCTGCCTTGCCTTTTGGTGACAGACTCCTTCAGACCTTGTGTCCCCACGGCATAGGGGAAGGTTGGGACGTTTCCCTGACATGAAGGCGGGGATCACTGAGGGAGCAGGAGCTGCTTCCGCTCATTGGTCCAGCTGTGAGAAGATTAGCCACAGGCTCCATGTTTTTTCCAGAACCTGCTTACCAACTCTGTCACCCACCCAGAGGGGACCTGCTCTGTCTGTTTTTGCTTTGCTGTGTGACCTTGTGTCACTGACCCCCTGGCCTCATTTTTCCGTGTTGGTCCATTTATCAACACTGCCTGCTTTAAGAATTTTTCAGTTATCCAGGGCCGTACGAACAGCCAAAAAACAAGCCTAGCCACTTTCCTATCTTGTAGTGACCTCGAAGCCTTGGTATGCTGTTTAGACCAAGGTGGTATTTGTGGCTGTTGTGAACTTTTCAAGGGAAAGAACTGTGCATTAGAAGTCAGGGACTACAGCTAGATTCCAAGGTTAGGGAAGGCAAGGAAGCCCAGGCCACGGCACTGGGGTGGCCATGGCCTTAGTGGCTGGCCATGCAGGAGAGGTGCTCCCTGCAGTTTTCACTTTTCCTTCTGTTGAGCTCTGTCTCCATCATGGAGCTCATTGGAGCTGATCTCTGAAAAGGATTGTATTCAGCGGGCAGTTGAGATTGCTCTTTTCGGCACGAAAAATAGACACAACAGTTCACAAGGAATCTTGAACAAACTTCTGTCCCCACAGGATTGGGCTCTTGTGCTCACCATGGTGTTTGAAGTGTAGTTTCTTATAACCATTTATTAAACAATAGGTAAACTAAGCAAATTGGTTAAAGAAAATAAGTATTTGCCACTTTCTCTCCATAGGAAAGATTGAGAAGGAAGCATTTTGTCATACAGTGACTGACTTTCAGATTCTTTCAGGCAATGGTTTCCTAACTGTATTTTAAGTGTTAAATTTTGCATTTTTCTGTGTGGTATCTTACAAAAGACTCTGTAGAATGAGCTTATGTAAGCCTGCCATTGGTACAGCCTATGTTTATTGGCCTCGTTCTGTTTATCGACTAAGCATCTCTTTTATGAAATGTCTATCTGAAGCAAGCCCTGACTGTTAGACTGCCTCCAGGGTGGGTGCACTCGCTTGATGGGGCAAGTCCTTTATGGAATTACAATTTAATTTTTTTTTTTTTTTTTTTTTTTTTTTTTGGGGAGTTTTTCACTTAAGGGTGAAGAC